GGAACGATTGGCTTGTCTTTTATCGCAGATCAATGACCTACATTTGAAATGTAAACACTTGAATTTAAATTACAATCATTTAACATAATTATCATTTTATCTTTGCTTATATGTAATAACAACTAATAAATAGACTTCAAATAAAACAAACATATTAGTTAGAACAGAAAATGTTTCATTTTCTGTTCTAAAAACTCAAAATTATACTTATATGTAGTAAAATATTTTCTTATAACATACACACATAGCCTATGCAGCTTAATTTAATATTGGCTATTAAGAGATCAAAGACATTGATAACTATTCCTTTTATAATATTTGTTGTGTACTTTATTGGTATTTAATAATTACTTATAACGTTTACATTTAATATATTAACCATCGTATATTTGTATCTTTCACAAATCACAGAACTATTATACACCATTAATAACTTCATACACTCATCAAGCTCAGTCTAAAAATAATATTCACTCTCCAGATGTTTTCCTGGTTTGTTTTTGTCAACCATTAACAAAAACACGTCGCGTTCCGTCGTGGGAACTTGGGAGTGCCGAAAAAGCACTTCGCAGATGTTTGGCACAGTATGTGTATTATAGAGACATGTTGTAGTCCCATATCCACGTGTCACAACAGGAAGATGGTTGCAATTTAGTACCTTAAACGCGTGCCACTTGTCCGGTCTCAACGGACCATGAAATAGACTCGCTGTTTTTATTATGAAGGGTGCTTCAATTAGACCCTTAAATTGTACATGTCCGTTTTCCTTTCTTGGTACTTAATAACAATGTTAACAAGCGTTAATTTTACATTTAGATTTATTATCTGTTTCTAAATTGAACGAGTATTAGTAAAAACTAATTTCATATTACTTTCCTTTGTCGTAATAATTTTATCTATAACTAATCTATTTTATATATCGTTTTGAGTACCTACGTTGACGATATTTACAGAAACAATAAATATTTCGTAAGATAATCTCCCAAATAACGTCATAATTCCCACAATAACTGCGATATGAATACTAAAAGTTTTGCACATTGCATATCAGGATATGGAGGAGAACGAGACCATAACAAGGTACAGGAATTCATAACTAATATAATCATCTAGAAAAAAGTTGAAAACATATCGGATGACGACGCGTTAGAAGGTCTGCCTATATTACTGACTGGAGTGGCTGCTACGTGGTAGGATGGAGTCAAAAACGACATAAAAAATGGAATCACGCTTTGGAAGCCATAAAATCGGCGTTTGCCCCAAAATGTCAGCCTCATGAAATATATATGACGTTATTTGGAAAAAAACAAACTACTGAGCCCATATATAGACAGTTTCATTTTTGAGAAATAAACACAGTAAGAAATAAACAAAGAAATAGACATAGTATGAATACTGTGTCTATTTCTTTTTTTAGCCTATCACAAGTTTACTGCTGAATCAGTCTCCCCCATAGGTTTTCCATAATTGCCACACTTTAAATGTATTTATTATCTGGAAGGTACTGCTGCTCATTTCCTCTTCACTTACGCCGCCCTACACAGCGTAACAATGCAGTATTATAAAAAAATATTCTGTTTTATCTAAGTAAACTTTAACCACGGTGACAACTTTCGTACGCTATGGGAAGGCGTTTATTTTATATTTCAGGCTTCTCATTTTGTTGCAATGATATAAATTCTAAATATCATTAGGATTCACACGTTCGGTATGCTCTTACTACAATACATTTCCTTTTAATCTACCCGCAAAAGTACATTCCTTGAAATAGGCCACTACCACTGTAGCTAGAGAGTATTACATATTGCTGTGTCCATTACATAGTGATTAACTATCGCTAAAATTTGAACCTATTTGAGAATCTGTTGGATATGTGACTAAATACTTAAATATTCCGACCATAGCGATGCCCCGAAGTAAAAGTCGGTCTTTGTAAAACTTAAATTTTACATGAGAAATGTTTTTGTGGTATAAGGATCTCAGGAACGCGTTGGAATATAAGTGACTGATGTACTCGTATCAAATGAAAGTTAAGTTTTTAAAGAATCTGGTTTTGATGTCAGCGTTGAATTAAATAGTTTTTAATGCAAGCAATATGCATGAAAGTGCCCTAACAATGTATTTCAGTATTACTAACCTACGGGATTATTACAGTAGATATCCCAAAAGTGATGATATAGTAACATTATACTACTGGCTTACTTGACCAGGTAAATATTAATGTATTTTAACAAAGTTATTGCTATATCTATTTTAAAATAGATTAGACAAGGTTAAGTTAACAATAATTTCGATTTGAAATCAATTTGAATCACTAATAAAAAATTAAATTAAAGTAATAAAATTGAAGTATCTTCAACCGCATTATTATTAATGGATCATTTTACAATTGTAAAAACAGAGATGGCAAAGGAGCGTGGACTCGCTCCACGGTTACAAAACCTCGCAAGATCTTTTTGCAAAGCTTTGCTTATTCGAAAGGGCTGGAGATATACTTGTGGCAATTCAACGTTCTCCAAACGTTCTCTTCTTTGGTCTGGATCGACATTAAAGCTTTCAATTTAATTTTGAGCTTGAGTCTTCGAAACTGTGCCTCAAAAGAGTGTTTCTTTTATAAATGTAAAATATTGACCTGCGAAAGATCAGACCATCGAATTATGTTACCTTCTTTGTCATTTCGGTAATTATCCAGATTTACTAGTATTTTTATATCACAATTTTCATTGTTATTCTCGTCACATCATTTGTCATTCATCACAGCCTTTAAACCATAACACGTAGACAGCCTAAAAGTCTAAACATAATATTTAAAGATTTATAGTTCTCACGCATGGCAAGCGAGTTGGCAAACGCAGTTTCTTACATTATTTTTGTGATCAGAAAGATGCTGCAGTTCCTCTCTTGTTTTATTTTCCTCTATAGTTTCTTGCGACTCCCGTCAGATTATTACATCAAATTGCGCAAATCAATTGATATTTTTCACCGGTAGGTATAGTATTAAAAATAATGACGTATTTTTGTATAGATAGATAACTTTTTTTCATATTCCTTTCTGTACAGACATGCATGGAGTCGCCCTCATTTTAGTTGTGCCCAGTTTTGAAAGACTTGGGTGTAGTGGAATTCCCAAACAAACTAACCAGATAAAACTAGATTATATTATTATATTATATTATATTATACCACAAAAACATGAAATAATTTTGCCTGTCAAATTTAAGTTTTACTATTACCGACTATTTACTCGGGGCATCGATATGAAATCCCAAATAATTTAAAAGCATAGACATAGGCACGCAGCAAAAATGTATAATGTATAAAAAAAGTGTATGTATAATTTTTAGTTTTAAAAAAGATCAACTAGCAAGGGACAGTGATGAAAATAGTGTATATTTTCATCACTGTCCCTTTGTGGTGTCATTATATAACAATAGTATTTTGAATAGTGCGTCAAAAATATAAAAATTATACCTACATTGGATACTTTCGTTTGTAGTAGAAAGTGGTATATTCTAAACTCAATCATATCCTTTTATGTCTTTTTAATCCTATCTTTTTTTCTAAAGGGTCTCTACATTTTTTCTACTGATACTTTTGTTGTAGAGTCAGCCTCTTTAAACCAATAAGGATCAATGTTCTTGCATTTAGAATTTATCTTGCTTTTAGGTTTGATAAATTAATAGTTTTGTATGACAATCTGTTTCATATTGGCGTTTGGCGGCTATCGGAAAATCGTCGCAATCTTTTTGTACCAAATTTAATATAATAGTATACAACTTATAAACAATACATTTTTGAGATATTAAGTCCTTCTGAACAGTATTTTCAGATAGAAGTATTTCTCTATAGGTATCGTTTATTTTCTAACGGTATGAACGAAACGTGGTGTTGTGCCTTATGAACAATCGAAAAAGTCAGAAAATAAAAACATTAATATCGAAATCGAAAAATTTAAATCGCTACTAAAGTCTCTACTTTGTTTTTATAGTTTAAGGGTGGCAAACGAGCACACAGTCCACCTAAAGTGGATGTTGCGGCTCATTGACATCTACATTTGATCAAAACACAGATGCGTTGTCACCCCTGAGGACTGATATCGAATGCCTCGTTTCCAGTAAAAAAAGGGTCTCCGGATCTCTACACTCACAATACGAATCAGCAGTGTTAAGCTGCTATTTTACGCAGGTATTCCGTGAGAGAGTGGTATTTCCTCGGTCGAGCCGACCCATTCGTGCTACAACCATAATATAGCTGCAGCGTGGCGCTACCACGTGCCATACTTGTATGACTGTTGAATAAAGTATACGTGAATGTTAATACATATAATTAAATATAAATTAACTATCATACTTATTAAAAAACTTTAGATCTAATTATTGACTGATTTTATACAAAATTATATTAATCGCATTCACTAGCCACTTTATTATTATTTGTTTACGCCAATACTGCGATAATAGTAATTTACCAAATCAAACACAAAAACATATTTTTGTTTTGATGTATAACGATATTTTTCCGGTCGTTATCAAGCTTGTGAATTTTCGTACAATAAAAGTGTTATTAATTATATCTTCTTATATCTCATATAACAAAACTGTAGAAAATTTGGAAAAAAAAACCAAAATGTATTCTAAACTATAGAATACGAATCTGACGTAACAGAAAAAACTCTATAGTAGCACATTAACAGTTTTTTGTTCGAGGACGTCGATATGGTTATTACTACTACTATTATTTAATTATTTATTTAAAAACTTACATGTAACACCTTAAGCTAAAGGGTACATAGGGCGGACTTAATGCCATGTGGCATTCTCTGCCAGTCAATCCTGGGTGCCAAGGACAATTGTTGGCAGAGATATTATGTGTTTACAAGTAAATTAAATTAATTAATCTCAAATTGAAACTACTTACATACCGTTTTTTTTTAAAACAAAGTGACAAAATGAAGTGACTACCTAACGTAAGTAAGGCGAAACTAAAATTATCAGAATTAGTTATTCGACCACTGCTGTAAACCGCTCCAGGACGCAAGTATTCTTACCATAATCTGCTAGTATTGTTGCTGCGTTTATAAAGCTCAATTTAGAATAATTTAAATCATTGATTTCAGTTTTGCAGTTTCCTAGTACAATAAACCTAAATTAATTTACAATTTATGAAACATTCAAAAATTTTATTACTAATATTCATATTTATTTTAACAAATTTCTTTTGTTCTAATCAAAATGCATTTTAAAGTGTCAATCGCATCAATCGTCTCACGTGAAACTGAACTCTTATCTTATCATCAACCTGACATAATATTGTAACCTCGTTTTCAAGCGGACGTTATATCAATTGTTTCTATTATCTTCCTTTTCTTTCCCGACCTAAAGCGTTCTTCGATTTGTAATAAAGTTTTTCCTTTTGTTTCAGGAAGACAGAAATACAAAAATATCGTACCCATTAATGTTGACATTCCATAAAAGAAATAAGTACCGTAATGTCCTATATTTTTAAACATTGCCGGCGCGGTTTTTACTGTACCAAAGAAAAAAACTGACGTCATCATAACACTTAAACCTGAACCTATGCCTTTTGTTTCCGATGCAAATACTTCTCCGACCATATTCCAAGGAAGGGGGGCTATACCTATGTTTGACACAACAATATACACTGCTGTTAATCCTAATGATATTACAGGAGTGACGCGTTTTATAACATTAATTTCCACTAAATATAAATAAATTGATAAGACTATAAGGGATAACGATGTAAAGGTTCCACTGAATATTGCAATCGGTCTTCGGCCCATTCTTCTTAGCATGATGCAGGCTGTAACTAGAGCCACGCATCGCAAAATATCTATTCCCAACATGGCGGCGTATGTGTTAGTTTTACTACCTAATAAAACTTCCATAATCTCAGTTGTGTAAGCACAAAAGACGTTTATCCCTGAGAGTTGAGTTATTGCAAAAAACATTAGCATTATACATAAAGGTTTCCAAAACTCGGGTTTCCTGATGTTCGTTGTCAAGGTTTCAATCTTGCTTCTTTTATCGACTTTCTTTGTTTGTTCTAATATCATTTTATCTAATTCTTCCTTCATAGATGGTCCAGTACCTCTGTACCATTGGAATGATGTAATACATTTGTCTATTTGATTCTTGGAGGCTAACCACGCTGGTGATTCTGGAGCATAATACAATATAATGCATCCAACTAGAGGAAAAATTCCACAAAGCAAAGATGCATAACTCCAGTGCAACAAAGTTCCAAATAAATGTGACATGAACACTCCGAAAGCAATACTCAATGACAAGCTTGCTAGGAACAAACCTCTATATGCTGGCGAACTTATTTCTCCCACAAAAACTGGCCCAAGTGGACCCAACCATCCCTGACAAAAGCCGGTTATAAATCTTCCAAACAAAATTAAATGTATATTAGTCGCTATTGCTATTGTTGTCCATCCTCCAATATAAAACAACGAAAGTAGCATTTGAGATGATCTTCTACCCAATCTATCCATTAGATATCCCGAAATCATGTTGCCGAATAACAAAGCTAGGGACGAAATAGCCGCTGGAAATAAAAATATGAAATGTTATAAGCAGAAAATTAAAGAATATCATTAAAATTATTTCATATTTAACACATACCTACCCAAGATACCATCTCGATAGAGTATTTTTTATGACCCTTTGCGTGTTGTAATTGTGGGATCAGGACTGCAGAAAACCCCGCCGTTGCACCCGCACTGAGTGACAACAAAAATGTGCCGAGTACTATAAAAGACTGAAAACAAAATAATGGAATCAATATTTACATCAATTAAATCAATATAAAAATAGGTTAAATCAATACTTCTTTCTATAATAAGTGGGTGCGTAAACGCGGATCTTCATTTACTGATCCACATGAAAAATAAAATGTGTACCTTTTATTATAGAGGGTAATATGGTCAACCGATTAATATGGTCAGTTTCTTATAACTCAAAAATTGCAGCCTTCTTTGCATAGGTAGCTTTGTAATACGACAGCTCTTCATCAATCAATCAAATAATAAAGGGTTAAAAGAGCGCTACCACCCTTTATACATAGTATTAGTATGGTGTAGTATAGTTAGTTTTTTTAAGTTATTTTTCGAAGTTTCCTAATATTGCTCAAAGACAAAGTAGGAAAAATCAATCCCTATCCTATAGGATATATCTCCGATTTTTATCATTTAGTCTTAGTGAGATCACCGAAAGGTCAAGACGCATTCGTTTCATAAATTTATAAAATATTTTTAAAGAAAATATGCCCGGAGGTATAAGTAAGTCACGATATGGAGCAAAAAAGAACATGATTTCGGTTTATTACCCTAAGAATATAATGTATATTTACCAAATAATCTTTAAATTTTTTTATTTCTGGCAGATTGTTCTATAAGAAAGAAAAATTATTGTAATACGTGCCCTCTGTTATCCAGTAACGTCACTATTTATTTACATATATGTTAGTAATTGACGACGTACCTAAAACCGATTTTTACCTTATGTTTACAAGCGTTACCTAATGGGAAATAGCTAAAATGTTTCCTAAATAAATATTCAGCGTAATATTGCTATTTTTCGCTAAAGGGCTTAACATACGCGCGTGCTCACAGTTTTTGTATGCAAATGTTTCCAATGTCCGCTCTAAGGTATATATTTAAATCTCTTCGATATTGCTGAAGCTTATTTGCTATTTTTTTCGTAATATATTAGTTATAGTATACGCCTTTGTGTTTTTATCTCTGTCCTTCTCCTATAAGTTTTGGTATTATAAGACGGTAAAACTTAAGGTGATCATATTATTCTCACGTACCTTACTATATTTATTGACATTACATACATTATTACCACATACGGATAACTTTCCTTGTACACTAATTCAGACTATTTAACGAGTACTACTAACATAATCAATTTATTTCATTCATTTTTATGGCACTACTGATATTCTTTTTCATAGACTAGACGAAACTATTTTCAGTAAAAGGGGTCTCCGGTTCTCTACACTCACCTTTTTTTTATAAAACACAAAGTCCATCTGGATGGCAAGTGGATGCTGTGGCCCAATAAAATCTACATTTATTCTCGTTTAATAATAGAAATGCAGATGCGTTGTAACCCCTGGGAACAAAGAACTTGACTAAAAAAAAGACGACTCGAAAAAGCCTCGTTTACCGGAAAGAGTCTTATACGTGGCAGAGCCATGTTGCAGCTATGTTATTGTTGTAGCACGAATAGGTCGGCGCGACCGGGGTAGGTCGATGCTCTCACAGAATACCAGCGTAAAATAGCAGCTTTAGGCTGCCCCATCTTAGTCCTCAGGGGTGACAACGCATCTGCATTTTGATTCTTAATCGACGGTAAATGTAGATGCCTATGGATCACAGCATCTACTTATCATTAGGTGTACTGTGGACTGTGTGCTCGTGTGTCATCCTGATTCTTCCCCCCCCCCCCGACATAACCCGACGAGGTTACTAGCACCCTTGGTAATAGAGAATCTCGTGCTGAGCGTCCATGCTTGGGTCAAGCAGAGCAACTGGACAAAGCGACTCTTGCCATGATAGCGAGACACAGGTGCCCTCTCCGTCGGATACTTTTCTTTTTATCATTCCTATCTAGGGTTCCATTACATTCCAAATTGTAATACTCCTTTGTATCTCGGACCAGTGTTGCGTATACGTCAGAGAGTATATCTATTCTCAACGCCTCGGAAGTCTTGAAGATTCATCCTTTGACTGCGCGTAGATAGCGACGAACATTCCCACATATACTGTGCATCTATAGGTCACATAGCGGTAATGACTACAGGCCCCTTGCTACTAATAGATCCCATCCGCAGAAATCGTGATCTTTGGTGATTTTAACGCCCCTTCTGCACATTTAACCGATCTTGCGGGGAGACCTTTTTATGATTTAGGCTTGGCATAATATGGTCTAATACAGCTGGTTACTTCGCTTCCGCGAATTCAAAATGTGACGGATCATGCATCTTCCCTGTTGGACCTTCTGCTGAACTCTTATCCGGACGGGTAATAGGTCAGGCCCACGGAGGGCGCCCCTCTTGGCTCTTCTGACCATTATCTGATCTGGAGTGTAGTTTCACTCACACTCCCATCGCGGTTGTATTGTATAGGTTGCCGCCGTGCTTGGCACTATAGATCGGTGGATTGCGAAAGAATGCGATATTTTTTGCATTCTTGCTCCTCGTATCCTTGGAAGCCAGTTGGCTATTTGCCAGATGTGGGGTCATCGTTGTTGCTGATTCTGTTGCTGATGCGGTACTTCAAGGAATGGAAATTTTTATTCCACCTTCTGTGGTGCCCATGGGTGGCGATCCCAGCCATGGATTGGTCGGTCCTGTAAAATTGCGTCACGACATATCGAGTGACGTTCAATTTTCTGTTCACTAGGAACGGAGTGCGAAATTGGCTTTTAGAGGCCGAAGTTTGGCATGCTCTGCAGAGAGGGACAGTATTTCCATGCTGGCACATCTTTTGCAACTTTACAAGGCGCAGGTTTGGCCTCACACATAATACTGTTATCATCTCTGTGTCGATACTTACCAGTGCCCACTACTTCCATTTGCCTGCATCCAGCGCAAAGCGGCTCGAATCCTCGACCAGTCGAGAATTCCTCTTCGATCATCTCGATTCATTGGCGATGCGTAGAGATGTTACATCCCTTTAAATTTTCGATCGCATTTACCACGAGGAGTGCTCTGAGAAGTTGTTTAGATTATTTCCAGCCTCCAAATTTCACCAGCGTACATAACGTTGTCGCTATGTACGCCGTTTTGTAACTCGCGTTACCATCCGCATCATCTGGGAGCTTGGCAGTCCACTACTGTGCGATCTACTAAGACTTTTTTTTCCTCGCACGACTTCTTTGTGGAATTGTTTACTACTGGCAATTTTTCCGGACTGATATGACTTAGGCCCATAGAATACCATAATACACAATAGAATGGCTGTTAACGTTATTTTATACGACGATGGGCGTCACCGGGAGCACACATACAAGTAATTACGTCGTATCATCAGTTAATCACTACCACAAACCCGATTCGCTGTGTTGACAGACGGATTTAAATACATATTTATTTATAAATAGCGTGCAATTCGGCATTTTCTAAATAATTTGCATTCGAAATTCGGAAATGATTGTAACGTCAAAACACATCTCGTGTTGACATTTATACGTGTGAATTGACGTGTTATTGGCATTTTAGTGGCTACACGGGCTCCGCCCACTCCCCCGTTCTATTATGTATGTATTGTTATATGCTTAGGCCAAAGACCGGCACCGCAACTCCCCTAATGTTGCAGCTATTGATGGGCAGCGGCCGACACTTACTATCAGATGAGCCGCATGCTCGTTTGCTCACTTTTTATTAAAAAATGTAAAAAAAATATATGTCACATTTTACGGTACGCTGTCAGTACACGGCGATATTATTGTACATAGGTAGGTACATGAAACCACTATGCAGTTACAAAAAAATACATTGACAACTCAGTAGCGTAGTAGCAAAGTGTACGGCATCATTGCGGCACCGCACGGTTTCGAAATTCGCAAAACAAGCGTTTATATGGTATATAAAATAAATAATAGTTTTTTTTTTATAGAAGAGGAGGCAAACGAGCATGCGACTCACCTGATGTTAAGTGACTACCTCCGCCCATGATCAACCGCAACACCAGGGGAATTGCAGGTGCTTTGTCGGCCCTTTAGAAAGGAGTAAGCTCTTTTCTTGAAGGTCCTCAGGTCGTATCGATCCGGGAAAATAGCCGGTGGTAAACTATTCCACAGAGAGGTCGTACGCGGAAGAAAACTCCTTTTGAAACGTACAATGGTGGACCGCCAAGCATCCAGATGTTGTGGATGGTATCGGGACGTTCGTTTGTTTTCGACGTTGATTTCTTTAATTTTACGTTCCATGTCTGGATGTTTGTCCACAAAGTTAATTTATGATAAACGCCTACACGATATGGCAGAATATCCTAGTAACCTGACGTAACGTTTTTCTGCTTATAAGGACGAAGTTGACAGAGGGGATAGACTGGTGATGGAATTATGCTTAGCGAAGGTGGCAGCTTTGTGCTCACCAACCCGCCTGTCCAGTAACGTGAGAATAGGCAAATATTCTAAGAATAGTCAAAAAAAATTGAAAATTGAAAATGTCTTTTGACGCATTCTTGCCGCCTATATCTAAAAGTGGAATTGTTTGCAATGTATCTCACAAGTAATAGATATTATTTTAAATTAGATCGCTTAGTGCGATTGCCAAGTCAATCTATATAACATTGTTATGGTCACTATAAAATGTTGTTAGGTTAACTTATTACGTAATAACTTAAAACAGAAGGACCCTTAAGTAGGGACTGAATAAGTTAACCGACTTGGTATTACATGGATCTCACAACTTTTTATGATAGAAGAACTGAGTTGCGACACTTGTTTTTTTTACAAGTTATGTTTTTGATGGTATTAAAGATAACTCAAAAACTACTAGTCAGAACTTGATTAAATTTATATGGAAACACGCAACAAGCACCAGCTGGCCGATGCAGATGCAAAGGTAAAGCCTTTCACTGGAATCATAAACGGAGCGAAGTAAAAGTATAAAGTCATAACTATCTTTATTTCAACAAAAGATTCAATTAAATGGTGTGACATTGCGTAGATGTAAGTTAATCAGCTCATCTAATCAATTCGCTAATTTATTAGATATTATATAGATTAAACAACAGAAGAAAA